TTTTACAGTAACCACAGATGCTGGCAAAAATAGTTGTAGTATACTCCTGGTAAATTCTTTCAGAACACGGTCTTTCCTCACTCTGCTAGTATAAAAAAAAAAAGAAAAAAAAAAAGCACATGGTTGGCATTTGTTTCAGTCCACATCAACGCTTTGATGCCAAACTTCTCCCTGCTTTCTTACAAAAACCATCATCTGTCTACCTGAAACTTCTCAGAAGCATCAACAACACACTGAAAGGTCTCAGAGCCGTTTTCTAAAAAAATAAAATGTGATCTTGTGCTGACCGGCGGCTTTTGAATATGACACCGTTCACAGGTAGACTTCTATTGAGGAATGAAAACTGTTCGCATTTCTGCTCCAAATATCTTAACAGTTGTTGTATATCTTTTCTTGAAGTCCTCACATACAAGTGAACATTAGCCGGTACAGACTCGTAGTAAACTAATTGGCACTTCCATACATTTATCATGTCTCTCTTCACTCCGTCAACCATCCTCTAAAATGCGTTTCATGGTCACTTGAAAGAAATAGTTCCACTTGGACGAGAAGATCGATATCATCTCGTCTAACTCAAGAAGCGGATTTCCCAAAACATCAAAGTATTGCTTCCAAAAATATCAAACTATTTCTTTCAAAAAATGGGAATCATCATTCATTATCAGATATACAGTACATTTGGTTTCGGGAGGGGGGAGGGGTCATTCAAAATCCACAAAATAAATACTTAATTTGGTTTGACTGGGAACATACATCTCCCCTGTGCTGTAGCGATGCCACTGCGGCCACTTAATACATTTCTATGTGAGAGTGAAGACAGTTTTTTTTTTGTTTTGTTTTTTTTTGCCCACTCATACAACATTTCCCTTTTATGATCATATTAAATTCAGGCTAATAACAAAAAAAAAAAAGAAAAACTGAAACATTGTAGCACCCTCTGCATGTCTTCTCTGCTAAGACCAAGATACATCCACGCGAAAGCACACACGCACACGCTTCCACTCCATTAACTGCAGGAAGATACACACTTCCAGCGTGAAAATAAAACCAGTCAACAGTTCACTTCAAAAAAAAAAAAAAAAAAAAAAAAAAAAGAAAAAAAAAAAAAAAAAAAAAAAAAAAAAAAAAGGCAAGGAAGCCTTAATGCTAAAGGGGTACAACAGAGGTGGGAGGGAGAGGTTGTTTGGCCACAAGGAGGTGCAGAGGACATGGCACGTTAGATGAGGGGCTTTTTTCTGACCCGCACTTTGTTATGAGAACAACGGATGAAGTCAAAAACAATGAGTCTTTTCTCTCCTATTCTCCTCCCCGTTCTTCACATAACTAGTCCGTTTTTTTGCATTGGGTGTCCTTCGCCGGGTTTTTTTCCGCCTTTAGCCGCCGTTCAGTCCATGTGGGGTTTCTCAACACCACCCTGAAGGGAAGCCGAAGAAGAAGAAGAAGAAGAAGAAGAAGAAGAAGAAGAAGAAGAAGAAGAAGAAGAAGAAGAAGCCTGTTGTTAATAACACATCAATCACTTGATTAATGCAGCAATCAGAAAATCCAGTCAGGATATCTGTAGGTACAATACGATGGTTACATGTGGATACAGTAGAAATGGGACCAAGGTGGCAGCTAAAGTCGGCTTAATGTATAGAGAAACGTCTAAACTGCTAACTACTATTATAGGACAACTTTTAACAGCCTCAGGGGATTTGTTTTCAAGACTGGAATCACACATGAACACATTCGTTTCAGTTTCCTGTAAACTCAAAATAAAACTGCAGCTGAAACCGAACTCTGTGGACAAGTTCCTGATTTTTATTTGCAGTGAGCAGCCTTCAAATAAATATGGATTTCAGTCTATATGAAATATGGATTGAGTTATTTTCTCTCAGTTCCTTCTTGTTTTGATGATTTGGCTTTTTCCAAATGTCAGCGGAACATTTTATACAAAGAAAGGTACAAAGTACAGTTTGCTCGCACAAAACTTCCCCTTACTCATTTTATCCATCGCAAAACATTTAAAATATATTCAGAGATAAAGGTCTCAACAGTTTGTGTACTCAGCCATATTTCAACTTAGATTCTAAAACTACACATCTGACAGTAACTTGGTAAAATAATAAAATAATAAAATGGAGCCATTTAGATCTAAAAAGTCTGGACAGAGCAGAGTTTGTTTTTTTTTATTCTGTGTGGTTAATGCTGCCAAACTGATTGTTTCACTGTAACTGGCTTAAACCCAAAATAAAAGAAGAACAAGCCATGCAAAAAAAAAAAAAAAAAAAAAAACATTTTGAAAGGGGGAAAAAACAAAAGTCTCATGTTCCTCCTGATCCTGATCCTCATAACTGACCCACTGGAGCGAAAGGGAGAAAAACACAGAACAAAACCACGAGTGCGGACTTGTGCCAACATTCTTCAGGCCTCATCACAAACAAAAACAACAAGTAGCAAATGACCCTCTGGTCGGCCGAGTCCTGACTGGCTCTGTGTCTCGCCACGACTGTGAAAAACAACAGCTCTTAATCTGCTTTCACGCTTTCACTGAGTCAAACTGAGGGAGTGACGGGACTCTTACTTTACAGACAGAATGAGGTGAGGCTTCTGGGCAGAGGCTTAATGAAGACATCAAAGCTGACTTGATGGGATAATTATGAAGTAAAAGGGGGGCGTCCAGTGCTATTTGCGCAACTTTAAGCTCATTTGACAATGTTATCTGCTGTTCTGGTTCAGCTAAATAATTGCAAATAAAGCACGTGCGGTGCAGGGGAGTCTTTTGAAGTCATCATTTTCTGTTTAGCTGCTCAGGCAGAGCGCAGAGGGGTTCGACGTGCACATTTTTGAAGGCTGATACGGATAAATGTGGAGGGAGATTTTGTGTGATGACACAAACTTCCAAATCATCCGAGGAGTCACAGGTGTTTACGCCTCGGCTATATTCTTAGCAAATTGGAAAAAGCCTCCAGATCAAGATCAGGAACTATTGTGTTACTGCAAAACAATAGACCAAGAGCAGCAGGACTGAAACTGGTTTGGTAGCTGTTTTAAAGAGCAGTACGCCTGAAAGCTGCCAACCTGTACACAACTTCGAGCTAATACATGCAGTGAAATGTCAAATACATAATGGATGCTACAAGAGCTGTTGGATAAAGAAACAGCGTCTAGTCATTTCTGTAACTTGCTCACTAAACGCACACTTGACCAGTGTTTTACAGTAAGTGACATGAGACTGATTTTAGGCTACAGCTGGAGTTTGACCCTTTAGTTACAAGATTATATATGTTATAAATGGTTCCAAACTTTACCATGGCAAGTTGGCGTCCAATGTTCCCCACAGTAACACCGCCTGAGAAGAATATGCATGGGAGCCAGGAGCGTACATACAAGAAGTCTGGAGATGTGTACCTGAAAGAGGGAGAGAACAACAACAACAAAAAAAACATCTCATGAAATATCATCTTTAATGATGCACATCAGGTGTAGTGACGCTGTTCTAAGGTCTGACCTCTGACCTCCCGGGCGGGGAGGTCAAACAAAAAAACAGAATTCCCTCCAGAGCTAAACAAGTTATACTGTAATAAGCAAATTATGTCTCGCCTTTCCCCTCAGGCAAAACTCAGAATAAGACGCATCAATTCTGACAAGTCGAAAACGCGTCTTAAAGACAAAGCCAGAAAGATCTCTGACAGATCTCTGAGTGGGAAAAACATACAAGACCTGTCATTTTGGAAATGATAATTATCAACTCTCACTCCTCCCCCTGCGTTTCTACCTTGTGAAGTCAGCATGAGCTGCGGCTGCCTTTTGAACCTCCTATCGTGGGCAACAGTCCCTTTTCTCAGCTGCGTGGTTTTGATGATATGCCGCTGAAGTAGGTAGGATGGGTTGTTAATTGGGCTCCCAGAGATAAGGGGAATACCAAAAATATAACTCAATACTTTTTTGTGTTATCTGCCACATCTTTTTTTGGAATCAGACAGGTGGGAGTACATGCTTCCTTCACACCAGGGTGGGACTTACTCTCATAGCTGTATAAAGAACACTTAAACCGAGCGGCAGAGTATTTCTTGGGTGTAATATGAAACCAAAAATTAGTGATGACAAAGCACTCATGATTAGTCATTGCACACAGCATCAGTTTTCTTTCCTCAAGAGTGAAAACTCGGGATTGCTGACTTACTGGTAGACTCCGTTGTAGACCAGCAGCTGCGTGATCACAGTAGCTAGGAAGGCAGTGGTGATGCCCAGACCAAAGCCGCTCCTGGACCGGTCGAAGGTCCACCACAGGCCCAAGGACAAGGCTGCCAGCGTTAGGGAGAGCTGCACATTGTTGTCGAAGTCTAGTTTCTGTGTTACGGGGCAGTTAAGGACAAAGTCAAACAGTGTGACGCTAGCATGGGATTAGTTCTTACTCAAATATTTGGATGACCTGCTAGCACCAAGTTCCATCACTTCTTAAGGGTAAGGGGTAAAGAAGGACAAATCTCCTGCTTTAGATCCTGTCCAAACCAGCAATGGAAGGACAACTTTTCCCCTCATTCTTTGGCCGTGACACACTTAATGAAGGACAACAGTAAAATCTATGAGTCTACAACATGAGCTCTTTGTGAAAGGATACAACACTGGCATGGTTGATGCCGACGAACACTGCGATGCACCTCATGACGCTGGCCCACTCCCTCTTGAACTTGTGCGGCTCTCCCAGATGGCTGTCGAGGCAGGGGTACAGCAGGCCGACAACAGCTGCAAAAGGGAACAAACAGACCCAAATTACACAAGATAAGCAGAAATTCTGTGAAATGCCAGAGGGCAAATCCTGTCATAGAGCTGCTGTGTGGGATTATTTGCTGAACATGCGTTTCCATAATTAGTGAATCATTTATACACCTACGGTAAAAACACTTGAAAGCCCTAAACATTTTTTTTTTTTTTTTAAAACTTCTTTTTGTTTGACTTTTGGTGTAATTCCTCATTTCTGTGTAATGTCAAGCTCTTGACCTACATTTTCTTCTACATGTTGTCAATAAAGTAAAGAAGAAAAATCACAAAAGAAACAACTAAAAGGAGGACACTATAGAAAATACCAAAGAAACTTATATATCTCTGAAAAAGTTATATGAATTAGAGCTGAAATCGATTCATTATTCAATGAATCGATTAGTTGATTTGACAGAAAAATTATCCGAGACTCATTAAAACTTTTCCAGCAAAGAGAATTTCAGGCTTCTCTTTGTCTTAAGTGTCAGTAAAGGGAATATTTTTGGGTTTTCAACTGTTGGTCTAATAGAAGAAGCCAACTTGAACATATTTCCCTTGGAATTCCCCAGACCAAATATTTATATGTGAAAATAACCACCTGTCCAATTTTTGTGTGATTATTCAATAACAAAAATTTGTTGTAGTCCTTACAGAACCGTTATATAATACACTATACCCGAATCTAGTTATACTGTCATAATCAATCTTGTATCAAGGAAGACATACCAAACACTTGCTGGTCCCAGCTTTGGAAATGTGAGCACTTGCTTCTTTTCTCTATTTCATTTCACCGTAGATAAGGAAACTAGTGAAGTATAATTTTGTGTATTTTCTTACATTTTATAAACTGAACAGTTAAAAGTTAAATCAAAAAAGCAGACATAGTTGGGATTATAGAGGATAAATACACACCAAAAGTTACAGTAAGTTAACTGTGAACTCAGTAATGAATACCTTAAACAAGTCCCTACATGGCACTGTGAGACATTAATAAAGCAACAGTAAAGCGACAGTAAAAACATGAAGCTAAACCACCACTTCCATTTGTTTTCTGCCCTGCAGCACATGGTGGGTGGAGCAGAGCATATACGCGCTTGTTTTTTTTTTGTTTTTTTCCTCCCAACTTCCTGGTTCCTGGCCTTGAAAGTACCTCCCACTCAGCTCACCCGTTATGACACCGGCCAATGAGCGCGCAGCTCACCTCGTGTCCGGCTGTTGCGACCAATCAGAGGACGAGAATCGCTACCATCTGTGCAAAGTCATTTTTTTTTCATAACTGACTGCCAGACAAAACCATCAAGTCTAGTGCAGCATAAGAGAGGAAGGTTTATATAATAGCCAACAAAAACAAAGCCGAATGATGATTCATTACCCCATGATCATACAGCAGCTGGTTTCAGTGGCAGTTATAGAGAGGTATCGTTTTCCTGCCTTATATAGTTTAAAATGGCACTTTTCTACTGCCTCTTATGGCGTGTGATGCACATAAGCACTCAGAGGTGATTATCAAACTTTTAGCGACTATAAATGATTGGTAAATTTGATTTTAATGGCTTTATTTGCCATTATAAATGTCTCTTTATATGGAAAAAGCTGGTGCACTCTAACCCCTCCCCTTCCCACATTCCTTTGTCCCAAACTTAGCAACAAACTACTGATAACCTTGGTCAAACTGCTCTCCAAAACTATTTATAACACACTAATAAACTTTATTTATCCCAGCCACCACTGTTGTCTACTCACCGGCTCCTGTGCCGCAGCAAGGCGGGATCCACCAGGCAGACGAAAACAAAGTTGTCATCACCTCCTCGGGAAACAGGGTGACATTTCTTTGTATCTGCAGCAAGTTGAGCACCAGGGCGAGGAAGACTCCCACCGTGAAGAGGACGAGACCCCGGCGGATCAGGTTGGCCGTCCGGACGTCGTGCAGCGAGCCGTAGGCATTGCTGAGCACCGAGGTGATGATGGACATCATTTCTTCAGCTTTGGATGCTAACCAGTTTGCTCCAGATGATGAGTGCTTAGTTTCTACCCTTGATGCACAGGAGCAGCTCCAGCAGTGGTCCTCTAGTCTGGGCATTTGGCACTTTAGGGCTGAGGGAGAAGGAAATACCACTGTCATGACTTTAGATACACATTTGTAACAAAGAGACACATGTAGCTCACGAGTGTAAAGATACGTTGCTGAATGAGAGATGAACAGTTATGTTTTCCGGATTCTGCTAAAACTAAGTTAGACTACAGCGAGAAAAGGCTGCAATGATCGCTCCATACCTTGATCTCCAGACGTCTTCAGTGTCTGCTCCAAACAGAAACCAGCTCTCGTGTTCATTCGCGCCGCGGAAACGATTAAGCCGGGACCCCCTCCTTGTTTTCCTGCTCTTTACAACAAGGACTGCAATCACGTTGTTTGTTCACATCATCGTTAGCAGACGCACACAGAGAGAAAAAAACACACAGTGCTGCTCCATTCCACAGCACAGAGCTCATACCAGGGACAAGAGCTTCCTCTGCAGAAAACAATCACAGCTGTGTCGGGTGAGAATCGGCAGCCAATCAGAGCGCGGCGGCTGATATGACGTGACGCCACCCCACCGCCCCCTCGTCCGGGACAGACGCACAAACCAGGAGGCAGGAGAGCTGAAGTGAAAGTGGAAACAGGCAGCTACTTTACATGGCAGTAAAACATATGTAACTCTTATTCTAAAGAGGCATTGAAGAGATATAATAAGTGCAAGGAAACAGCATTCAACAAGATCAAAATGGGATATTATAAGAGCAAAATTGGAAATGTAGTTGCAAAAAATACAATAAAAGTAGCCCAAAATGTCATTGTGAATTCAGAACTGAAATCCACAGTTGCAATATGTATCCATTATAATTGCTTTCTAAGAAGAAAGATGTGTTTACCAGGCTAAAATCAAAACTTGAGCTTGATCCTTATTGGATAAACACTTAAACTTTTACAGATCGTCCTCTCTAAGTATTCCAGCAGACTACTTTTTCACAAACTAACCCCAGTTAAACAGGACCTTTATATATATATATATATACGCAGCGTTTGAGAAATGAGGTTAGTGGCACAACTTTTTTTCTGATGTTTGTGGAAAGTTGTTGAACTTCTGGTCAGGATAGAGGAGGTGTGTCTCACAAGAAGGAGTGTGCAGGGATGGCATGTAGGGCCCCTGCACGTATGCCAATGATTATGTGAATGGGAAAAAGGTTCATTGCCCGCTTGACATAGTCTTTCAAGGACCGACAACAACATGGAAACATGTTTTGCAAGAACCTGTGTGACCCAGCCAGGCGTCTATAGGGCAGTGAGATAACAATCTTCCACGCATTCCATGCGTGCAGCAAAAAGCATGTATATATAGGTGCATGTTTTTTCATCCTCTGTGCCTCAGGACATGCGCAGGGAATAGTACCCATATATTTGACACTGAAACACACCAACACACATGCAGGTGAAGACTCACTGCTGCAACTTTTTTAAATAAAATGATACTACAATATTTCTCCACAGCGATTAACAAACATTTCTATCATTTTAACTTAACTGTCAAAAAAGTCCCAAACTAAATCATATTTACTTAATTTCAGCTGCTGGCACTTTGTAGAGAGTAATACCATGGGTGAATCATCTTTTTCATGCAAATTGGCTTGCAAAATTGAGCAATGCTCCATGACCTACAGCAAATTTGGTAAACAAAACCAGAGAGCGTATCAATCAGATAGCATTTCTTTTCAATTAAGTTTAATTAAAATCCTTTTTTTGGTGTAATTAACTGTGCTGCCGATGTCTCAGGGTATTGTATTCATTTTTTGTTTTTGCAATTATGTGGTGCTAAAATGCAGAACTATGCAACGTGGTGACTGATTTCTGGTTGTCACCCAGTATTCAGCTTCAAAGCCTTAACTCAACTGCTGAATTTATCTCTTCTTTTTATGGCTGATTTGATGTGCCATGTGGAGGAAAATGATGCTCCAATTACTGCGAATATTGGTAAAGCACCCAATAACTATATTTATGAAAACAGACATGGAAACATTGCAGGAACATCAGAGACTTTCTTGCCACATGGCCTTAGGGCTAGCAATGTCGGTCTGTCGGTCCACCAGTTTAGTCCAGACTGAAATATCTCAACAACTGTTTGAAGGATCAAGGCTACTACTCTCTATGGTGATTCTCTGACACTAATCCAGTAGCACAAAACTTTGTACAGATGTTCATGCTTTGTAATCACTTTCGTGATGGCTTTCACCATGGGGTTATGTTTGTGGTTCTGAGTAAAAGTGTGATGACAACTTTAGCACTGCTGTAAGATTTGGCACAAGCATTCTGATCCATCTAGCGCCATCATCAGGTCAAAATGTCAATTTATCCAGTACTCTGGTTTATGGCTTTGTCCCATCAGCCTTAGCTGTACTTTGTATTTAGTGCTAATTAGCAAATATTAACATGCTAACATGCTAAACTAAGATGGTGAACATGGTAAGTATTATTTCTGCTTAGCAGGAATGTTGGCATTGTGAGCATGTTAGCATGCTGATGTTTGCTAATTAGCACTAATTATCTCAAAGCACTGCTGTGTATAAGCATAGCCTCACAGAGCTACTAGCATGGCTGTAGTCTTATTGTACCTACAAATACTGATGGCAAATGTAGTGGAGGTGAAGCTACTTTATTCTATTGACTTTCATATTATAAGTCACTAACCATATCGTCACACAATTGAATAGATAAAGCAGCTTTGTTAGTTCCGCTAAAACAGTTTCGGAATGAGTTTTTGAATGTAAGTATTACATATGGGTGTATAAATCATCTTATAAGTTACAGTTTCCAGGCAACACATTCAAATTGACCAAGTTTAAATTGGTTCCACTTGAATTGAATGAGAAAATGCCATTTCTAAAATGGCAGTGATAACTGAATGGTTAAATATAAATGTCACAGTTGCACTCCATTGGAGCTGTTTCACCATTTTGTACTAAATAAGTCAAGCATGAAAGTATATTGAGGGTTGAAAAGTTTGCATTTGTCCTCCCGTCACATTTATGAGTGCTTAGTGTTGTGTTGGTGTATGCAGAGGGTTTGAACAAATACAGCATGTCTTACAGGATGAGAAGACTGCCAAAGAGGAAATTACTATCAGAACAGGTTTCTTTTTCTTCCTCACTCATTTCATTGCTTTTCATAAAATATGCTTGGATGTAATGGCATAGATCCTCACTCATGACCTCTATACAAACACGCTGTCGTGGTCCTGAAATGACATTCAGAGACATTCACTTTGCTGCAACCCATAGATAATGACATCAGTCATATTTACTCCTAATTTCAGCGGACCATGTGGTTAACACAGATAAATCGCCACAGTCTAACAGTCTCACAAAGGGGAGAAAGGAGGTCAGAAAGAGAAGGGTGCACCTACAGGGAGCTCCCCAAGGCCCAAAACTACTACACCACCCCATTAATCCAACAATAGTATTCTTCTCTGCCTCAGGACAAAATGAGTATGTTGAAGGCTCCTCTCTGGGAAGGAGCGTGTGTATGTTTCCCAAATGAATAAGTTTCTCTCTATGTAATTCTTGGCAATCCAGGTGCCCGAGGATAAAAGCCTACAGCAGTGAGTGTGTGTATGTGTGGGTGCCAGTGTGTAGATCTCTGTCTTTGCTTTACTGTTTATATGTGTACGTGTTAATCTACAGAGAAAAAAATGTGTTTGCTGGATACGCGTGACCTGAGAGGACTTCCACACACGACATGTTAAATATCTTATTATATTAACAAAAGAAGGGAAAAAAGGTTGATGGTGAAAAATATGACACCACTATGGAAATTTAGATTGCTTCTAGTGCTTCTACTGACAGTAACATGCGCATTAATGTGGAAGCTTAAATCACAAGTTGTATGTTAGCTAATGCAGGGCTATAATAACCATGAAAATGACTCGGCATATAGCAAATAGCTCCTAGCAACCAGCAGTGCTGGCGCTGGCGTCGAGGAGGTCTCAGCCACATCAGAAGATAAAGCAGGATGCTTCGACACTTCAAATGAATAGCAGATCAAGCGTGTCATAGATTATGCTGTTAGACTGGGAGGGATTGAATTATAGCTAAAGGAAAAGCCTGCTGGAACAGCTGGTAAATTGATCTATCAAACTCAAGCTTGACAATTTTGTTCCTCAATCCTGTATGAAATTATGAAGGGAAACATCCTAATCCATCCTCTCGGATAGTTGATTAAGATGAAAACGGTTTCGGCTTCATCCAGTGTATTCCTTCTAGTTCAGGTGTCAAAAATCATTGCATGCATTCCTCAGTAAGTGCCAAGATACCGCACATTTAGAGAGCATCTGAAACTGTGTAACCCATTAATAAGGATGGTATTTTCATGTAAATCCACCATTGGTAACTGTAGCATCCATCCCTTTTTATCACTAGGTTAATAATCCATAGTTTGATCAAAATTCTCCAGCCCTATTTTCCTCCTTTTCTTTCTTTCCATTGCTTCAATGCTTTCTGGGCACTCTTCTCAACACACACACACACACAACCTTTTCAGTAGCTCCCTCTCCCTCTCACTGTGCCATGGAAGATGAAAGGGGATTCTGGGGTATAGAGTGTATCAAGCAGCTTAACAAAGGATACCATAAAGGCCCTGACTCTACAGCCCGAGGGCGTGGCACCAGGATGCAATCTCCCAGCCCCTTTGTTCTTTAGCGCTCAGCTCCGAAATTGTTTCAGAGCAGCTCACCTTTTTCTATAGCCAGATCCTACACCCTTTTCTGTACCACATGCTTATTTTCTGGGTGTATTATGCCAAAACAGAAAGAATATGTGGGTTTTAAGGGATGATAAACAGATCCTGAACCGGAGCTACAAGACAAACAAACTGTGGTTTCCAGAGAATAAACATTTTTATATTTCAGAGACAGTGACCTGGATTTGATGTGGTTGTTTCAGGGAATAGTTTGACATTCGGAGAAATTCTGCTTTCTTGCCAAAAGTTAGAAAAGAAAGTCGATGCCACTCTCATGGCTGTATGGTAAATTTGTAGCTGCAGTCAGCAGGTTAGCTTAGCTTATCTTAGCTTAGCACAGAGGCAGGAAACAGGACAAAACAGCCAGTCTGACCTTTATTTAATCGTCATTTTTACACTTTGGCTTTTTGTACAGATAAAATAAATGAGGTATTAATTAATGAGCATTACAGGATCTGTAAGCAGATTTTATTACCTTTGGACTAAGTTAGCTGTTTAACCCTGTTTCTAATTTACAGATGGCTACAGCTTCATATTTACTGTGGAGACGTGTGAGTGGTATCAATCTTCTCATCTAATTCTCACCAAGCAAGCGAATTAGCCTGTTTCCAGAAATTTCAAACTACTCCTTTAAGTTGGTATATAACCTTCGGTATTAGTCTGTTGTGATAAACTACACTATCCTCTGCTCTTATCAGCTGTGAGCTTCCCACTGTTAAGCTTATTGCTGCTGTTGACCTTTTAATAGCCATTTCACTATAAAGGAAAAGACTTCAATTTGTTATCTTTCACCTTGGTGCAAGTAAATTGCACCAAGGTGAAAAGGTGATATCTACAGGGAAAATGGTGGCAGTATTTTACCATTTTAGTGCAGTTTAGTAAACAGAGTTTGTGAGTCAACAGCACAAACTAAAAACTCATAACTTATAATGCTGAATTAACACCCTCTGACAATCTTACGAGAACGGAACATTATTATCTTTACAAAAGT